CCTGCTGAAAGAAGCAGGCTGTGGGGGTACAGAGTGCACAGACAACAGTACCACTGAGCACAAAGAAGTAGGTATTTAGCACCTTGCCAGATACAGTGCCCGTTAGAATCACAAATAAAACAGAGAGATAGTTTGACTCCGTGACATCTGCAGACACAATGCTAGATGTTTTAATTCTATTGCTATCTCACATTCATATATTACACCACTGGTACTTCCAAATAGGCCTCAGTCCTATGAAAAACTGAGTACTTTAAGTAACCAGTCAAGTCAAAGTAAGGGGATACAGAGTACAATTTGGTCATGAGACTTTTCTCTCCCTCCTCTAGATTCTGTAAGTCTTCTTCAAGTCCTTACCACCAGATCTGAAGTCAGCACTGATGCCTGAGCACATGGCTTCCCCATTCAGAGCCATTTGTTGGATTCATGCCACAGTTCGTTGCAGTGTTTCCGTAAACATTTCTATAACATGGTGCCATGTGCCTACTAGTGTGCTTTATGGACTGAGATCTACTGCCTACATTGGAAGGCAGTAGGCATGACCCTGGCTGCAGAGAAGCCACAGTAGTGTGGTGGAAGTTAGGTCATCTGGCTTACAGAAATGAACTGCACATTTAATAAGGCTTCTACAGATTCTCAGCTGGAAGCAATAATGACTCTTAAGCAAACGTGACAGAGGCTGTGAGAGTTTAATAAAAAAAAAATAATAATAATGAAAAAATAAGAGGAAAGCCTCCACCTTTCAAAGGGCTCTAATTAGCTCACAGGAAAGACTTACCATTGTGAGAGTGAAGTTTATGTTGGAGTTCTTTAAATGAATAAATATTTGTATGTGGTAGGAATATACACCTTTACTGAAAGATACACAACTGCTCTGTGCTTCCTCTGAGCAATTCTTCAGTTGCATGCACAGCAAGAAATTAATTAAATCAAGGTAATGTTAGAATCTGCCTTGACAAAGAGAACAAATTGTTGACCAGCAGAGGCTATGATGATCTGCTGCATGCTATGACCTTCCTAAGGGGGGGAAAAAAAAAACAACCAATCCCCAGAAAAACAAACCACCAAATCCAACAAAGCACATGGTGTCAATAACAACTCCAACTAATCTCATGATGTCTATGCAAGTAAGGGATGGCACAGTGTCGCTAGACTAGAGAGATTTTCACTGCAGAGCTTAACACAATTCACAAACAGCCCTTTCATTAGATGCATTTTACTGACCCTTCCCAGTTTACAGTCTTTACTTCCACTTCTCCTCTTTAAATATCATGTCCTGGATTCTCTAGATAAGAGTTACAGGGTAAAATTATTTTGATGTGGCCAGTGCCACACCATTATGGAAAGTACTTGAGTTTCCTCTCTGAAAACAGCTTGTATTTACTATGATCACCAAACGAAAGCCAGAGTAGAAACTCAATTAGAGATTTATATGTTTAGGACAATAACATCAGCTATGAAGTTTGGCAAGGTTTTGACTGAATTACAGATGCCTGAAGAGGAAGGAAAAAAAGAAAAAGAAGGTTGTAAAAAAAATAAAATACTGCAGCTCCAGAGAGCGGTGGCTCACTTCCCACTTTGCGTCACCATAAATATGAAAACAAAACAGGGTTCTCTTAGTTATCCTGGTACACAAAAAATCCCAGAGCTCTTTCCAAAACAGTTTTGGAGTGAAAACATTGGATCACATGCACTGCCAGCTGCCAGACACTTCTAAGCTCACTCTGAGCGCATCTGAAAATAAAGACAGCTTGAATGAGGTCTCTGAGCAGCAGAGGGTTTTTTATTAGACAATAAGACTAAGAATCTCAGTTCAAATTATGCTGCACAGGTCTTTCTTTGGTCTTTACTAAATAAAGCACTGATCAAGAACATCTATTGCACACACTTAGGAAAGGCAGTACACGCTCAAGGCCAACACAGTGGCCTAGGTGACCCACATCTAACCCCAGAAAGACAGGAGGTTATGGCTACAGGTCACAATTCAGAGGTCAACAGCAGGGCAATGTAAGGCAGTTTATACCTTTTTCACAAAGCACTAGCTCCTTAGAAAAGCAAAACAAGGGATGCAGAATGATGCAGCAACGAGAACAACTCACGTATATTGAATTATATGATCAGCAAAAAATTATATGCTGCTTCTTGAAGAACTTACCAGTGACTCTCGAGATGCTGCATTTTCAGTTGCAGGGCAGGAGCCAGCCTGTAAAGCAAAAGGAAGAGTGAGGTTACATTGCCACCTGATGGACAGAATTAGAAATACTTGTCTATTAAGACGACTCTTCCTATGAGCAGGATTTAGGCAGACACACTTGTTTCTGCTAACAGTAGCAGTTCTGTGATGAACTGAAGACAAAAAGGTCAGAATCCCTGAAAAAAAAAGTAGTTCCAGCGGTCCCCATTTAAAACAACTGAAATCACAGACTCTGCAGAACTTGCTTTAGGAAGCCAGCAGTGAAGAGCCAGAGAGACTACCGAGAGGAAAGCTCACCCTAACTCAAATTCTTAAATATTTGGTGCAGTGAACACGGCATGAAACTAGGACTTCCTCTGCAAAACTCTTGGTGACAACACGTGTCACATTGTACAGTATAAGACATGACATTTTCATCACATATTAAATGAGGATAATGATGAGTACTTGACATCCACAAAGAATTCTGAAACGCTGCAGAAGCCCAAAGTGCTGCTATTGCAGTGGATGCAAAGGTACCTCACTCTGATTCCATGGTTCACTTTCTACTCTCTAGAAGTACTAAACTTGATTTGAGATGGAGCTTCTCACATTTCCATGACCCAGTAATGCACCCTTTTTTTTCTGCACTATTTTTTTAAAGATTTCAGAAGAACTATGATTTAACTAAACCTCACAAAATGCCAGCAATACCAATACCATCCTTGTTTCCCACACTTAATTATGAGACATAGTTTCAGGGCAGATGCTGAACACCTTACCTTGCACACTAGGATAGGGGTGGTACACAGAAGGAAAGCGAAACTATTTGATTAAAGTAGGACAGCAAGCCAACAACTGGACTAGACTCAACATTCAGGAGCTTACACTCTACAGGCTCACCTGCAGTTTCACTTGCACTCGCTCACTCATCAAGACCAGGCATAACATTTTACCATAGTCCCATACTTTACAATATTACTCTGAGCTTTTCTTCACTACCAAAAAAAAACCCAGTTTGATCTCAGTGTAAATTGCATATATCAGCTCTCCCAAGGTAGAGACACCTAAGTGTTACCCTAAAATAAACTTATCTTCTTCAACCATCTGTATGCAAATGGGATTCACATGATGTCAAGATGGTCTAAAGCACATTGTCTTCACTGTGGTTTTTTGATCTTAGGACAGGTGACACATATTGATTACCTGAATAGTTAAAAAATGCATTTTTATTAGTAATGAAGACAAGTTTGGAGCTCAGTTAGAGAAAGGGATCTTATTAATTTTGTACAGGGAAAGCTAAAACTTTCAAGTGATAGCACCGAGGTCCTTGAGTGACTTTTGTCCTCCAACTGCATTCATCACTTTTATGCACTGTATCACACCACCTAAGTATCTCAAGATTTTTTTTCTTATCTACAAAACACAGAATACATACAGACAAAAATATTTACCACAAGAGGGTGCCAGAAACTCAAATACACAGCAACTCAGCTGCTTCCAGACATTAAGCATCATCAGCAGGGCCCAGCCAGATATCACAGCTAGGTTCTAATTTTCTAGAGAGGCCCTTAGTCCCTTCATGTGCTGCAGTCATCATCATCTTTGTTACTCCACTGTATCTCTGCAAGAATTTCAGTTGCTAAGAATTCACTTAACAAAACCACTGCAAATACCAGCTTCAACACCCTACTGGATGTCACCCTGCCAGGTCTGTCTAGTGGAGACAATGCTATGTCATACCAAGATTCTCTCTTCAACCCTGTCACAGGATTCCCATTTTCATATACCTAGTATATCTGATTTCACATAATTTACAGCTGGATGAAAGAAAAATAATTAACAGTCTTAAGATCCATCCACTCCAAAAATGTGGAAAACAGTTAAGAACCAAAACAAGAATGTATGACTTACTATTTAGCTAACTGAACCTGTTAAGGTTGTGGATGTTAAGGATGTGGAACTTATTTGGTGGATATTCTCTATTTCATGTATTCAGTCAAATCCTGGGACTAACACAGGCATGTTACTGTGGCTAATACTCTAAAATATTGGGGCCTGATTAAAAGCACTCTGAAGTCAAATAAAAGATTCTCAGCAAATTCAGTTAGCCCAGAGTCAGAACTGCTTAGAAGAGGCAGATGAAGAGAAGCATGGATAAAACTCATGTTGAATACTTTTTAAAAGTACCTATGGCTGTTAAGTATTATTTTTCTATCCAATTGTTCCATCAAGCCACTTGCATTAAGTACTGAGCTTTCTAAGAATATAAATATTCTGTTCTTCTGTAACATGTTTCAAGGATAATTCAAAACATTTTCGTAAGCCAACTTTGCAAACAGAAAAGCTACAGATGTGCGATGCAAACAGTAAAGTCAAAAAGGCACAATGGAAGAAACCATGACAGAGTTCATATCCTCAGAAAATTCCCAGAGCATCCTAAGTACTAAAGTTTGCATGGTCTGCCCTAAGGAGCTGCACTAGTACTTCTGGGCTGTCACTCCACACAAAGTTTGGCTAACCTGGGAAACTGCCCAAAGAAGGCTTTGAATGAAGCCAAGGTTACTGTGAGAAAACATGTATTACATCAATAGGTAGAGAGTCTTGATCCTGAAGACAAATACTCAAAAAATCTGCCATGGGCTTGTGCATAACCTAATGACACATATATGGTGAGTTGGATAATTTATAGTATTTTGCATTTTCCAAAGCTACCAACATTTTAAATGAGATCTGTGTTTTCCTTCCAGCAAGATTTCCAAGCACAAGGCGTAGTGTAACAGCACAGAAACTAGCCTTACAATATAAAGGACAGTCACCCTCCCACAACACATTAGCTGTCAGGGAAGATTCCACCCTTTTCACACAATGGCTCTTCAATAGCCTGTATTTAATGAAAACAATGGACATCACAGTGCAGAGACCATTTATCTGCACCATTAAAACTATTTTTTAAAGCAGAGAAATCAGAGGTTTAACAGTCAAGAGCTACAGGCAAGTGGAGAGGAAAACTTACCTATATATAGACTAACAACGCAACTTAAGGTTGGGCCTTTGTACTCTTGCTTTTTTCCCCACAAAATCACACTGAGGAACATCACCAAATACAAATGTTATGCAGTCTGTTAACCTTACTATCTCTTCTTCCTCAGTCTCTTACATTAACTTTATAGATAGTCTGGTTTCAGGATGGTGAGCCTTCCAGTGTTATAAAAGAATCCACTCTGCTTATTCTACCTCAATGGCTGCACTACCATTTTGGTACCAAGTCACATTCAGCCCTTGACTTTAACTATTTCAAGCCCTTTATGACTCACACAGACCAGCCCCATACTGACTTCCAGGCTACAGGATTCTCAGTTTCTGCACATAACTGTATAGATAATTAGGCATCATTTTGTGTCCCTAAATAAGGAGTTTGGAAAAATTTAGACATATTTACCTAAACCAGCAACACTACTGCCAATTAATGTTTAAGAATTTCAATTTCTCTCACACTACTGGGATTTACAACTAAATGGAATGCCAGAGGACTGGGCTGCTGGCTGGCTGAGCCAAGAAGACTCACCAAATATCCTGCCAAAGTATTCAGCATCAAAGAAACACTGGCAGCCAAGAAAAACTGGAAATCAGTTACTCTGTTCACAGGCTATACCATCATCTCACTCTTCTTTTACTATAAGGAATAGCAAGAGAGAGATGGGGTCTTTTCTTCTGTTTATGTTTTAGTAGAGACCAAAGAACATGATTTCTAAACAAAACCTGGGTTGTATTTTAAAATCTCAGGTAGAAATGGTTATATCCTTTAGAATATAATTCTATCTATGTAAATGATTTAATGCGAGCTGTAACAGCCCCCCACACACACAATGCTTGAGGCAATACATTAATTCATGAGAATGAGAAAATTAAACTAAGAAAAACAGATAATAAGGCAAAATATATCTGACACTCCCTTTTCAGCATCTAAACTAACTAGATTTGCAATTGGAAACACGATAGGACCCAAACATAAGCAAGTTATACAAGGCAGTGCTACTACTCATAGCCTTATGTTGAACACTTGTGCAATAAAACATGATCAGTGAGCATTTTTTAAACTATATGAACAATTACTATGCAATGGGACAACTTTTTCTACACATTAATAACATCAGAACTGCAGTGAGCGCGTAAGAGGAGTGGCATTTACATTCTGCTAGATTAATATTGTTTTGTTTTATTCCAAAATTGTTCCCTTAGGAATCCATCTATCATGCTACATATTCTTCAGTTACACTCTCTTTTTCCAGCCAAAGCAGCAAAGTTTCTCTCAAATCCCATCCAAGCCAAGAGAATTTGAGAGCACTGAACACTGCCCTGCAAGAGTTCTGGATGGGGAACGTGCAGCCAGTCTAAGACATGCACCAGATGCTGAAGACAGGGATTTGTCACCAGCAGGCACTGACAGCCTTGGACAGACAGAACAAGGCTCCTGTCACCACACAAGCACACAAGGTGGGGAGGAGGAACGTTGAAGGGACAAACACTTGTGTGGCTACCCTCTACCTGAACTGTGTTACTTCACACACCTGGGGAAAGGCAGACCACCAGAGCTGCAGAATCCAGCATTTCTGTATACAATGTGTATGAATCTGGCAGGGAAGCCATTAATTGTCCAGTTGCACCCCTAGTGGCTTAAGACCACCTCCCTCCTCCGAGGTGCTGACACAAAATAGTCTCTGGGATGAAGACAACTTTGTAACCTGGTATTCTACCTTATCTCAAATTCTTCTTGATCATTAACTCCACCATGTTTTTACAGACAATGCCTGAAGAACTTGTTACACATAAAGTAAGAGTTACTGATCCCATTTTTCACTGTGGAGTCAGTGAAAGTGGCTTTCTTCATGTCCTTAATTTTAAAACCCAGGGAGCGCTCTAGCTACATTTATGAGGCCCATTAAAAAGCATGACATCCAAACATCAAGCCTTATTTAGAGGTAAAGCAACATTAAATAAATGTTTGGTTTTTAAAAAAAAAAGTTGCAATGGGAAGACACTATATCCAAACTCAAGGGAACTCGAGTGTTTGTCAGGCAACCACATTTGAAAATTAACCAGATTTCTTTCTCAGAAACCTCTAGTCAACTGCCTTGTAGAATGTCCAAGTGGCTTCTGGATCAGGCACAGGTTGGTTCAGGTTTCCTATTTCTGAAAGTGTTTATTTGAAGCATAAGGAATGGACTGTGAATGCCTGCATCTCAAACTACAACTAATGAAACCATGTGGTCAATGCAAAACTGCCCAGCAAGCCCATTGTGAGCTCAGTAACTTGGTCCTCCACAACCTAGAAGATTTGTGCTGGTTAGTCACAGTATGAATTTTATTTAATTCAGTTTAATTCAACAATATTCCGTACAAACTCAGCCCCCTCTGTCCAAAATCAAAGGATCAACAGTGAGAGGCACATTGATTTAATGAAATCTGGACAGATTTGAATGCATGTAAAGTGCTTTGGCGGCAGACTTTGGTTTATTTTCTTCCCTGTTGCTGAAACAGCCAGACCTTTGCTCTCCTGCTGGCTGCAGTGGGGCCCTCTGCAGCCACCTAAAAGATTTTACAAAATTCCATTGGTATCACATACTCAGGAGTCTGTCCAAGAGAGCACTGAGATAAAAGAGCTGCCAGGAGGGCACTAAATCTGAGGTAGGTAGAGTTCACAATGGAATACAAGTTACCCTGGATCATGAGCAAGGCAGCACAAGTGACCTAAAACCTTTGCTAGATACAACTACATCACACTTCCATTTTTCTCCTCTGGCTCTCCCATTCATTTCAGGTCTCAGTTTAAAGATACCTTAAGCTTTCAGTGTGTTACTGAGCACGTACTCAAGACAGTGAACTTATATTTCTTTTTTAGTCTTCCCACACAGCTTTTGACAATGCTTACACTACATCTATCATCGCTTTGGCCTTTTATGCTGTTGGTTCAAGGATCTCCTCCCTCCTAGTTGCAAGGTAGAAACATCTGGTCTAACTGGTACACCCCATTTCAAAACCCAGCTGACACAGAAATTACCTCCTTTCTCTCTGGCTGTGTTTTTTTGTTCCCCCCCGCATCCAAGGCCTTTATTGAGTTCCACATCTAGACCCTACAGTGAAAACACGTCCACGGTCTGGGGCTCTGGCCTGAACAGCTCTTCAGTCCGAGCTGCGTGTCTGGGGAAGCTGCACCGGGTCTCCTCGCGCTCCCTCACAGGGCAGGACGCCCAACCACAGCACCAGCTCCCTCGAGATGAGCTACGAGCGCTCCCGGGCACACGGGACGAGACTCGTACACACAGGGGTGAGACCGACCCTCCCCTGCAGGCCGTTTCCCCCGGGAATGACGAAGCATCCCGATTCCCCCCGGGTAGCAGCCCCCCCTCGCCGCTCCCCCCCGCGCCAGGCCGGCCCGGGGCAGCTCAAGGCGCACCTCGGGGTCACCGGCCGCGCCTGCTCCCGGGCTCGGCCCTCCCTCGCCTCTCCGGTGCG